ACCTAGGTTGTTTTACATAGGGTAAAACTTTATTACTCATTAAGTGTTTGGCACCGATTTTGGGGAATTAGCAAGCACCATTAGCTCTCGATTAAGAATTTCGACTAAGTTTTTACTTTTTTTTTTCAATTAATTTCAGTTTTTCTTTGTTAATGTTTCAGGTAGTTTGCTTGGGACAATGACTTTTGATTTTTATGGAGGCTCAAAAAGAGCCGAGATGGCGCAAATCATGATGCGCGCTGAAGGAAGAGAGCATGGATTTTCGGATCTAATGGCTCACTCACATAAGCTCAATACATGTGGAGATCAAGGAGGCCGCTTTCTATCAAAGAGATGATAGCTCAAGAACAAGGTTTCTCTAACCCATTCACTCATCCACATGATTCTCGCAGTGGAAGACACTTTCTAGCCCTTATGGAACACCAAGGGAGTGACCAACCATACGTTGTGTCAGGCACATTCTGTTTGCAACCGCAAAGCCCACAAGAACTAGCACTTGTCAAACATTTTGATGAGTTATCCGAAATATACGAAAGGAAAGATTTCTTGAAAGCTCAATCCGAACATGATGAAGATTCTCACATCTCTACTCATTTACACTCTAACGACGATTTTTCTTCTGAATTTTATGATACAAAGTTTGCAGCTTGCTTTGCAATAAGCTTGGTCGCAGACAACAAGGAAATCATTCAATCCGAGTCACTGAGAAAAAAAACAACCATGAAGTTCTCATTCCATCGGATCACATATGAAAAGAAAAGGACCAAGCACCTAAGGAGTTTACCACTCTTGTAGACCCTCTAGACATCCAAGTACCTCAAATTTCATAAGTTGATGATTCATCAAAAGAAGCCCATGAAATAGAGGGAGTTTCTCATGACATGATTAATTTATTCCCTAAGAAAAAAAGTCTCTTTGATTGTTATGATGAAGTTCATAAAGCTAATGTTGAAACCAATGTGTCTAGGAACAAGGACACGAAGTTATTTCGCAAAACAAGACCTGAAGAACTTGAGATAAAACGTGCATTCAAGGAACACATCTTGCAAGATAAAGTTCTTGATCATCCAATAGACAAGAAGATACTCCACATGGTAAGACATGAAAGGTTGGCAGCTGATCATCAACCTCCTTCTAAGAGACAAAAAGGCACAAAACGCGAAGCATATGCTAGCACAACATTCTTCAAACGGTGAAAAAGATGAATCCTTAAGGATTTTCGAGGATGATTCATACCATACAACAAGAAGGAAGCATCTTCTTGATGAACAAGGTAACAAACATAAAACCTTTGAAATTTTAAATGATCATCCAAGTTTTGCAGGAAAAAAAGAACGCAAAAAGAAGTTCACGATTGAGTCAAAGTCTCCTGATTCTCATAACCAACGAGACTTGGACATTCGAGATGGAGAACTTGCTGAAAAACATGAACCAATTGACATACTTTATGGGGATTCAAATTTCACAATCAAGA